GATAGTAGATATGCTTGTGTTAATTAATGTTTCCTTAGATAAAGTGTAAAATTGTGTTTCTTTAGAAAGAGCAAAATTCTCTGGTTTTGGAAGACTTTAAAATCATATTTTCCAGGCTGGTTGATTAATTTAAGCAAAATTACTGTAATTACTTCAGTGACATGCTTCCTGTTCTACAGGATGTAAATGGCCATTTGCAAAGTAGTTTTAAATATGCTCAGACTATCCCAATGATGCTTTTAGTATTTGTGAAATAAATCCCTACTTTTAACCTCAGCACAGAATGCTTCCAACTGATTGTATGCCATAATGTATCTGATTTAAAACAGTCCATGAGGATAGAAATCAATTATTATCTGCATAACGTAATATTTAAAATTCTTTTATTCCTGTTTGTGCATTTTTAAATATACTTACGGGTTATCCAATAGCAGCACTATGGGATTGAGTTCTTTCTTTGGTCTATAATATGCCCTGAGAGGAACAATAAAATTGTACAATCCATTTCCAGCTGTTTCAGCTGCAACTATAATTAGTTTATTTTTGAATCCATAGGCTTTTGCATCCTCATAGTAGTTATGCTGGCAACTCTAGACAAGAAAAATTATACAAAACATGTCATTTTTAGACTCCACTAAAATATGTTGAAATATTTTAGGATAAATGGAAATACAAAATTAAAGCACATCTTTTATATTTGACAAATTTTGAAGCTAATTATATATTTTGTGCCTAGTTGCCTAATATACTGTAAGAAATACATCTTTGCGTGAACAGCAGAATGAATGGAAGTTGTGTACCTTGATGTTCAGAGCCCTGATGGCGCAATGGTTCAGCACTTAGTTGCTAAACCAAAGGTCAACACTTGAAATCCTCCCACTGCCCCGAGTTGACAGCTGTGGTAGCCTGTTTTCACAGTGATTACAGCCTTGGGAACCCTACGGGCAAGCTACACTCTATTTTAGAGGCCAGTATGCCTCCGACTCTACGTGGGTGATCAGCAATGGTGAGCTTGCTGATGGGGATGAACAGTCAGTAAGGTATGTATGGATAGGTTCTTTGATTCACTAAAGCTTGGTTCTATTTGACTCCTGGATATCTTTAAAATCATCTACCTCTTTCTATATCAGGAACAAAGTAGTTTTATAAATTAAATAACTTCAGAGATCTTTCCAGTACTAAGTACCTAAAGTGATGGATTGAGCAAAACAAAACAAAACAAAATAAAATTTAAAAGACAACTGTCTAAATGTATGGCAGAGCTGGCAAGATAATAATAGAAATCTTCAAAATAATTCTACTAACAACAACCACAACAGTAACAACACAGTCCCAAAGCTCATTGCTGTCCTGTTGGTAATTTGCTGTTTCCTTGAGGGCTCCAGGTTTCCATTTTAATGGGTTTAGCATTACTAAACGGAGCTGTTTGAACTAATTGTCTGCATGAAGACATTACTCCGGAGTTCTGCTCCTGCACTTTGATGTATTACGATATGAATTTCCATTTAATTGTTCAGGCTGAGATTAGTTCCTTTTTTGTGGATTCATCAACTCTAAAATATCCTTTGCCCTTTTATCTTCAGCAAAAATTTTATAGAACCCTTCTAAGAATAAGGTACCACAACTCAACAGAATGAAAATCAAACAAGAGGATTAGACTCGCAATGATCACACAGTTTGCGGCCATCATATAAAAGGAGCATGGTTGATATGTTTGCAAAAAACTAAAAGAATATTTAAAGAGTGAACAAAAAGAAAGCGGACATTTCAAATATCCAGAAGATGTAAAATTACTTCTCAAAATGAACAATGTAATAAAAATACAATTTAGAAAATATAATAATAAAAGAAACATCCAAAATAGATTAAACATGTTTGGTGCAGCTGGAGAGAAATTACTGAGTGGAAGGACAAAGCGGCAAACCACTGCCATCAAGCTGATTCCAACTCCTTGCGCCCCTAAAGGACAGAGTAGAATTGCTCCTTTAGGTTCCCAAGCTGTAATTCGGACAGAAAAGGGCATTTCCTGAGGAGTGCCTGGAGCAACAAGACGGTTAGAAATGCTGCCATTGGGGTTAGCAGCCCAGGACAGTGTGGAAGAAAGGAGCTAGAATGCTAAACAGAGAGGAAATTGACAAAAGATACTTGGTAGGTAGAATGAGAATGTCTAACACATATATGTCTAATATATCTAGTGAGACTACCCAAAGGAAAGATGAGTCAGATAGACACCTTATTAAATTACCTATTGTCAGATAGCTCTCTGTTACTGATGAAAAACTAAAACTATCATCTTTAGGAAGCCCAAACAATCCTAATCCAAACAAAGAGAAACCCTATTTATTGATACACATCATAATCAACGTGCAGAACAATCCTCAGCCTGGGAAGATCTTAAAAGCACTTTAAATGGAGAAGAACAGTAGGCTGTTGGCATTATTAAGACCTCTAATAGTTACAAGATAAGCGGAGGCAAAAGAACTATCCTCCTAAGGAGACTTAGAATTAGTTCAAGCAGTAAGAAAATTAACAAGGAGACAACAACAAAAAAACAAATAAACACACAAAACAAGGCCACGTTCATCTAGTCAATTTCAACTCCCAGTGGCCCCACAGGGCAAGGCAGAATTGAGCCTTAGGGGTTTTTGATACTGAAAGACTTTGTGGGAGCAGACAGCCTCCACTTTCCCCTGAGGAGGAACTTTGTGAGAACAAACCTGTACCAACCTTGTGGTTAGTAACTCATTGGGCCACCAAGACTCCTTAAGGAAAGAACACTTGGAAACCCAGGTAATTTCCTGTAGACGCTGACCAGACCACCAGGCTGTTAAAACGGGTGTGGACTTACTAGGAATGTGAATTCAGCTCATCTACTTTATTGAATCCATTGAGTCAGCTCTTCTGCTGGTGAGTGTCCATTAACCTAGCAAAACACTGCCATCTAGCATCAGGTTACCTGAATAATGCAGTCCTTGACATCCACTGCCAATGAGCAACACTCAGAAAATGCACTCTCCTAATAGCATAAAGCCACAGCTCATAATCCTGTGACTCTCAGATTCACCAAGTTCTCTTCCACAGAATATCATCTCTTAGAGTTTATCTTTTCAGTTAGATCAAGCTCCCCGACTGGAGAGTAAATATTTCCACTCTGATTTTGAAATATTCCTATTCTTTTACTGTGTTCAAGCAGTAAAATGCTACCCGAGGTGAATTTGGGGGCCTGATGTTTATTTTATTTTGAGAATCCTTGTAAAGGAAAACACAATATATATAGATAGATATATACATAAACAGATATATTGATAAATATATAGATAAATAGATATAGAGAGAGAGTTCATCGTAGGGATTAAATATTCAGGTGAGTAAATTTAAGATTTATTCATATTTTACATCAAAATCTGCAAAACAGTAAAGGAAAATAAGGACAGATGGGGGGCGGGGGGGAAGGATGAAAAATGCGGCCAATAAGGGACCAGGTGCACACGTGGGAGCAATGGCAAAGATTCACGCAGCAACCGTAGAAAGGAAAAGACAGCAATCTCCCAGTGTCCTGTTAATCTTCTTTGACAAGAGTGAGCACAACTCTCATTATTCATAATGTTTGCCATAGAAAAATCCAAAAGATAGCAAGAATATTAACAAAATGTTATTGTGCCCCGTATGTAATAGGTGTTTGGTACTGTGCTAAGCCTTTTGCACATATTACTTTATATAACCCCTACATAATGCCTACGGAATAATATTAAAATTATACTCATGTTACAGTTGACAAATATGAAATTTAATGATGAAATAATTTACCCAAGTTGCACGGCTTATAGTGGGAGGAGGTGGGACTTAAAATTTAAGTAATTCCAAAATTTAGACTAAAAGGAAAAATTCCCTGGTTAGTATTAGTGGCACATGTAAAGCTCTGGAGAAAAGGTGAAGATCTTTTTTAGCTCCGTTTTTAATTCTCCTGAAGAATTTGCTCTTTTGCGGTTCAAGTCCAACAGCCATATTATGAAAATACGTTAAAAAACAAACAGCGTAAGACCATCTTGCGTTCGCCTTGCTTGGGTAGATTCCTTAGAACATTCAGGCAGGAACCCAGAACTACTGAAGACCCGTAAGAAAGGAGATTTGACACATGAAACTGCTCTTAGATTTTTGTCGACTCAAAAATGAATCTTTGTGTCTAACACTTGGGCTAGCTTAACTTCTAGTATCAAGTGGTTCCACATTGAGATTTGAGGCAAAAGTGACAAGAAATGTAAGTAGCAACAAAGTGATGCTTGTGAGGCTGGCTAGTGGGGATTCAAGCATTTGAGATTCTCTGTTTTCGTAAGTGAAAAGCTGACCGGCTACGGGATGCCTTTGGGTGTTCTTCAGTGCTGTTAGGAAAATGGATTTCCTACTTGAGGCTGCTGTAGGCACATCTGAAAAGATAGTACCTAGTCAAAGCATTTTAGTCAAAAGACTGAACGTGATTATATCACTGTGCACGTGATTATATCACTGTGCAAAGGGGCTTGAAAAAACTTGTGGAAACAAATGGAAGGTAAAAATCATGGAATTCTACCACAAACTTTTTGAAGCTCCTTCATGCATAATCATACAATGCTGTATTTTTATTTTTAAAGAGGAACAAGAACAAGTACGTACCTGGTCTAGCCTTAAGCAGCAAAATGGAACTTTCTCATGAAGAAGGTGACAGAAGGTGGGTGAACTTCCTATGTATGGAGAGTAAGGGGGGTAGCCTTTAGCGTACCTGCAAAACAGCACGAGAAGGCATGTGTGCTGAGGACATGCACCGGGGCTTGCAGTTAAGGCCAGGCTGCGCTATTTTTCTATTAGCGGCAATAACTTTTTGTATCGCAATTCTGTTATGATACAGTTCAGGTGTAGGCAAATGACAGCCTGTGGATCCACTCTGGTTTCGCGAGT